CCCCATTAAATGTCCTTTTTTTGTCTAATCAACAGTCAAAACCCAAAGAATGGAAGTTACTATAGTATTAAAGCAGCAAACTTTCACAATTAGGACAGTGGGAGGAACCACAAATTCCTATTTGCAGGAAAATCTTGGGGTGATGCCACTTTATGGTAAATTTGACGGTTGTAGTTGTTGTATTTTGTTACACTTAGAAGTACAGTCGGGACTCGATAATCCGACATTAAATGTAAAACCTTCTTTAATGTCGGATAGCAAGGCTGTTGTATTGTCAAGATGGAGGTCGAGATACAAGGAGGGCTTGATGCTTGAAGGGTCATTTGTTGTTAATTATTGTTCATAGTTGTTGTAATAACTAGTAGCGCTGGTCCGAATAGCACTTTCTGGTCTCTGGATATTCAGGCCCAATCAATGATGAATATCAGCATATCTGGCGCGTTCAGGGGGGACACTTTCACTCCAGGGGAGCGCTCTGGAAGTGGCCGGAACGTACAGACAATATTTGGCTACTGCTGCTAGTTTAGGAAAGTGGTCCCAGTTCTGTTTCCACCATTGGTGGCAGCGGGGCAGTGACGGATACGCTCCACTGTTACCATCACACACAACTGTTTGCTGCGTGTAACGTCGTTGTGTCCTCTTCTGCACATGCAGGACACTTTTGGGTCGTATGAAGTTCACACTGCAGATCACATAGAAGTTGCATTTTATTGGAAATGTGAACGAACTCACACAAAAATCGGATTTCACCAAAAAAAATCCAAATTGAGCATTAAGTCCTGCAGTCTGAACATAGCCAATCTGTCAGATTGTTCAGTCAGATAATACGCCGTTATCCTTATTTGTGACATAAAATGTCATGTCGGAGTCAAGGCTGTCGGTATGTTAAGGATATTTTTTATGGATTCCATTCATTCTTCCTATAAACCTGTCAGATAGCAAGATTTTGGATTGTTAAGGGTCGGATTATCGAGTCATGACTGTATTTCTATTATTTTGTCCACCAAAACCTCTTCAACAAGCAGCAAAATGCAGGACATGTTCAGTTTTATGTGTCTAGGTATCAAAAGAACGATTTGGCGT